AGACAGACAGACAGACAGGCAAACAGACAGACAAACAGACACACACTACATACATACATACATACATACATACATACATACATACATACATACATACATACATAAATACATGCATACATCTACCTCCATATATATATACATAAACACATGTGCCTATACATACATATATATATATATACATATATATATATGCACACAAGTATATCAGCACAACATCGTTAACAAAAGTCAAAACCCGTTGGCAGCCCTGATGCTGAAACAGCCTTCAACCCGAGGGATGTGGAGACAACGTGCGCAGATTCCTGACTCAAAAGGTCAGGTACACACAGCTGGAGCACTCGGTGTGTCTAACTCTTATGCGTCCGAATGGCCCAGAGAAGAACCGCAAACCATCCACCTCCAACCTGTGAGCTAATATTTGGGCTTCTGGTGCTGCGAGTCGGGCCGCAACGTACCCCGACTCACCAGCACGAGATCGAGTTGCCGCGATTTCTGCTTAGGTCCCTAAGCGCCGTGCCAGTTCGTCAAGGTTCTGGTGATCCTCCCTTCAGGATAGCAGCAATGAAACACTTACACTCACGGAAAGGTACCTTTGACCATCCCTGGTCTGAAAGGATCTCGTCACATCTTCTCATCCCGTGTGGTCATCGCACTGTATCAAACTTCAACCACTGAAAACATACGCAGCTTTTTTGCTTGTTCTTCGCGAGGCTGGCAGGGTCGTAGAGCGCCAGGTCCGTGTTTACGGAGTGATACTCCTCCCTGCACCCTAAAGTCCTAAAGTGCGACGAGACTCTGCATTTGGGGCTTTCTGGGTTTGGAGTTGCGTGCTTCGGGGTCAGGGTTTGGGAAACAAAGTTAGGCTTCGGGGCCAAAGATTGCTGGCGGTGAGTGACTTAGGAGTGTATGTAGGGGGTGTAAGTGGCAGCGAGGCCGACAGACGCAAAAAGGAGCCTAAATTTTGTGGCTCTCCCCGAGACCTGAAAATTACAGCCACGTCTTAATGACGATTGCTTCATGATCTGACTGATCCGACTCGGTCTCATCCGAAACAGTCGCATCTCCAGCAGGACAGCTTAGGCTAACTTTGTCTTTGGCAACGCCGTCGTCGACATCCTCATCTGCTTGTATCCACTGATTCAATATCGCCTCTTTGACACGTGGACTGCAGCACAAAACGAAGGTTGTTAGCGTCGCGTAGCCCATTGCCATGAGCGCAGGTTTAAGCAAAAAGTCTTGCAGAAAACTGACCCCACTGCTTTCCAGCCACTTTGCAGCATCCGCTTCACTCACATTGGCAAGGAATGACAAAATATAAAGAACGGCGAAGACAAAGGCCGAAGTCCAGACAAGCCAGAATAGTCGTCGCCTGAGACGCCAGCGACGATATTGCCTGGCCTGCAGAGGGACGGGACCTGAGACATAGGACCTTGAGGTCGCATTCTGCTCACACAACCCCTATACTTGGACTTTGTAAGTAAGGTTATAATTGTACCCTAATTGGGGTTATAATTTTAGTTACCTTATTTGTAACCCTAGTTACTAAGTCCCATGATCCTCCAAGTAGCCCGAGCACTCCAACAAGTGGCTGATTGCTTCTCTGGGTTCCAGGGATGAGTGATGAGGCTAGGGCCAGCGCTGTTTTAGCTCGGGGCATCCCACAACTTACGACACAAATCAGAGGCTCTGCCAAAGCTCAGCAAGAACGTGCCACATAATGAGTACCCGGCAGCGCTTTTGTAGGTCTCCCCGGACGCTGAAACAGCATTTCAAGAGGTCACAATCAGAAACCCTACGCGAAAAAACACACTGCACGTGGGCCGTTTGCCCTTTGCAGGAATCGTATCACACAACATTCAGGAGCAATCACATGCAGCTAAGCCAAACGCCAGTCCTTGCCAATCTGAAAGCGAGGGCCTAACCCTCGGGCACCAAAAACCAACTTGAAGATTCAAGCTTGTGAGGGAACAGTATAGTGTTGGGCATTGCGCATGGAGGCCTCGTCTAGCACAGCCCCTGCAATCCTGAAGCACTAAACAGGCTGTACAAAGCTACTGACGCTATGGTATTAATTAAGACGCAACTCTGACAAGTGGCGTAATTACCACAAATACGCCCCGGAGGCTGCACTCTCTGCGACCTAAACCCTAAGAAATACATCCAGCATCCCGAAACCTAAGACACCCGCGCACCTTCATCTCCTCTGTCCAGAGTTCCCTTACTAAAACTCTGCGTCGCTGGATCAGGGCCAGAACGATGACGAGAACGTCACTCCTGATTCAGGGTTCTGGTTTCAAGCCATCAGTATGACAGTGAGGTAGCTTGGATGCTACGTACATGCATAGCATCACCTGCCTGACCTTCGCGCAATCAACATCCCCATTCACCCGAAAACTTCGATTTCAAACAACCTTAAGTTTGCCGTTTGCTTCAGATGTAGCAGTTCCTTGTAGGATCAGCAACTTTCTACTAGCAATGAACTTCATGTGTGACTTTTGCTCTATCCAGGCCAAGACGAGGAGGGCAGGGCTAGTGAAAGTCTAGGACTTCAGATTTTGCCGTCGTCTTGACCGCCCACGAAACCCCGAGGGCCCAAGTCAACCAGTAGGGTGTAGTGCAGTCATTGAGGCTGAAAGCCCCGCTTGTTGGGCATATTGGACGCTAAGGAAAAAGGGAGACGACACCTGTGGGCCCGTGATCAACAAAAACACAAGGACACCTCCGCACAAGTTGAGGTCGCTCCAGGCATGGATCGAAGCACGAGCAGGGTTTATTTGGGTCTAGACTTTGATGGATTTAGAAGAAGGCTTTTGAGACTTCAGAAACATGCCTGAGTTTAAGGCACTGGCTCTCAATCTAGTCAAAGCCAAAGCCATGCATGGCTGCAACATGTGGCGTTGAAGCTTCTTTCTGAATGGTCCACAAACTCACCCGAAATGCTTTCGGGACAGGCTGTACTGTTGAAACTCTGCGACAGGGCAGCACCGTAACTTTTAGACTCATTTTGGACCATAACAGCAACGCCCTGGGTTTACTATACACCCCACACCCCATAAAACCAAATTTGTGGGGAGCCCGAATCCATGATACTAGGAAAGCCGGGGCACAAGCACGCGGAGGAAATGCCCACAACAGTGGCTGTCACGAGCTTCTGGCCCACCGACTCTTGTTCCGCGCAATCATCATCCTCAGCGCAGAGATTTGAGGGCTTACGGTAGGCTTTGTGGGTTCATGGATTTGGATTTGTCCGGTTTGGGTGTTCAGGTCGAAAGTTGAGGATGTGTGTAGGTGTTCAGGGTGCAGAGGAGGCAACTACGATAACAAGACGGCTTCTAAGAAATGAAGTGTGTGGACAGGAAGTTTTGTTCTGGTTGGGACTTTAGCTTATGCTGCTACAGTAGCTTACGCCCGACACGGAGCCCGGAGCCCTCCACCCCACACCAGAAACTGAACCGAAGCTTTATACCCCGGATGCCCCGAAACCGGAGCGACTGAAGCCTGAACCGGCAAAAGCTCTGGATCTGAAGCCAAAGTATCGGAGTCTGCCGCCTGTGCTGCAGAAGTGAAGAATAAGGCATTTGCAAATGCCGATGTTGCAAGCTTCAGAACCTCAAATCGGGGGTTTCCTGACTTGGGGGGTCTGGAGCTCCAGGCAGTTCTAGGGATCATGCATTGCAGATTCTCGGCTCAGCATTCGGGGTTTGGGTAAAACCGAAAGCTCGGCCGCGGATGAGCACTTGAACTTTCGTGGCTGGCTACTAGTAGGCTACCAGACAAAGTAGCTACAGCCCTACGTACCCATGAGTGGGATTGAAGTACTTGTAACCGATTGTAGCCCGTGAACTACCGTAAATGCCCTCGGAGGTTCAAATCAAGGGGCGACCAATGCAGCTCGCATCGTATGAGACCTGAAAAAACTCAAGAGAGAAAGCCTCACCCAAGGGTGCAAGCAAGGCAGCAGAATCGTCACCTTGGACTGCCAGGGGTACGCTTCAGTTCAGGGCGTCGGGCCTGTGTAGGTTTTTGGGTACAGGGTTGAAGTTTAGCGCCCGAATTTGAAGGTATGTGCATATGTATATATATATATATATATGTAGATACATACATACCTATATATATATATATATATATATGTACGTACATGAAATATGAATAAGTGTATCTAAACTTATGGCGACAATAAGCGAAGAACCCTACCTTCTTGCATCTAAAGCCCTGGAGATCACAATCACGATGCCATGAACACATAAAATCCAAGGTGCCCGTCGACACCAGGAGGCCGACAGGTAGCGGTTCACCGCCCAAACACCATGAGAGTGGACATCCCAAGACTGGATCATCACGGCAGTGGCCTCCGACTCGTTCTTAGGGGCTGAGCACCCTAGCCCCAAAAAAGGTTAACCTTTTAAATTATAGTAGGGTTATAAGAGCCCCCAAAAGGTTAAAGGTTACCTACTCAGCCACTAAGGGTTATTCTTTGGGCACCGGTCTTTTGTCGAAGGTTTTCAGTGCTCGGTCCGGTCAACACGGATGGTCTGAGAGGGCCTGAGTGACCCCTTGAGGCTTAAGAACCAAAGGTCAGGAGCTTGGTGTACCGGGTTGGCGGCTAGGGCTTAGGGCTTATGAACAAGCACTTAAGAGACTCTCTCGAACCAGGATTCAGCTTCGGATCTTAGGGTTTAGGGTTTATGGCTG